AGGTCCGTGAGTAATCCCTTCCTACAGAATCTTTAGCTTATGAGTATCAATGTGGGACCTGGCATCAATGAGTCCAAGTCTAAGCTGTCATACCTCATTCATATCAGTTCATCAAGACGGAAGGCACCAATATGAAAGATAGAGATATAAGGAAGGAAGTAGTCAAGGTGGTACAAAGTTGTGGAAAGAAATCAAGAATGAATGAAATAAACGTGAATTTTGGAATAACAATTCGGAGGAAAATAATGCATAAATGTATATGCATCACTGAGATTGTCTCCGAGCCGTATCACCTAGAGTCTCCAACCCTGATTTCGGAATCTCTCACGTTCATGCTTTTGAGAACTTAGCACGACCCATTGACTTGAATCTACAGGATAGGAAAAACCTTACATTTGACTGGTTCCATTTCATTCGTAACAGTTATCCCTACCTTACTTTCACAATAAAACAGAGATTTAGAATGTCTACATCCGCAGGAATAAACGATGGGAGGTTAATGAATTCCAAAACACCTACCACATAACAACAAAACGCATCGCTTTTTATTCTATTTAGCCTTCAGGATACTCAAATGTGTCATCAACTTTGAGTTAATTTAAACTCTTCTTTACTGAGATGTACTGATGATACCTATGGAGCTATGGATTATCGATATGAGTATTTGACTGTCAACCATTGAGTTGTGGGTTCGTACCCCATTACACCTTAGGTGATTTAGATCACCAGGTATTATCACCAGTCTTCACACAAGAGACCCGGTTTGCTGCCTAGTATATGAGCCTATCCACGGTTGTTGACTCACAATTTACAGTCATCTAGACGTTAGAAGGGGTTTCTGAATTCTAAGCCAATAATGTGAGCAGCTGGACTGAATAAGATTTTACCGCTAGAAGCCTAAATATAGCTCACATTTTAAAAGTATACCTATACACGCCATGAATGCTTAAAACGATGGAATTGATACTTCTTCGAAAACACACTTCTGGGGTACATGTATGTAAATACACCAAAGAAAGTGGAACAGAACGAACTCATTAACTGGTACCGATGCACTTGGTATGTTTCTTAGTTATCATCCTTATTATAATTTAACTCAGATATTGCTACCAATAAACCTCGCCTAGTTTACTAGCTGGTCCTAAGCCAGGTAAACAGGAAAGGTTGGGTATAGGGCTAGCAACCCTAACCCACAAAGCCAATTCAAACGCTAAAGAAACTTCAAAGCACAAAAATAATAATAAACTTATTCTTCGCTGGAATCGGGGAGATGAAATGACGCCGGTTGGTGAAAGCCTCCCGAAAGACAATTGACCAATGTGTCTTCTCTCTCTCTCGATGAAACCAAAAGTAAGCACAGGAACATCAAATGTCCGCGTGATGTTCGAAGCTAGCGAGGCCGCCCAGGTTGTAAAAGAAATGAGAAGATATGGCATAGAAGTGTTAGGAATCTGCGAAAGCAGATGGAATGGAAGTGGACTCTCCAAACTGTCAATTCGAGAGTCAATAATCTACTCCGATGTTGGCACCCAGACGACAACCAAGAGCATACTGAGGAAGTGGCTATCATGATGTCTCCAAGAGCATCGAAGGCTCTCAGGCAATGGGAACCAATCTCCTTCAGGATCATGACAGCGAGATTTAACTCAAAAGGAAGGAAAGGCAAAACCCTACACTGCTACGCTATGCACCTACAAATAATGCAGATCAAGAGAAGAAGGAGGAATTCTACAGATAACTGCAGTCAGTAATAGACAAGACCCACCCCAGATGGCGACATCGAAATTCTAATGCGTGAGGTGACTGAGAGCGGACAACACAGAAAGATAACTCATCATGGGTTTAGAAGCACTCGGTGAAATGAACGAGAATGGAGAACTGTTTGGAGATTTCTGCGCATTTAATGGTTTAGTGATTGGATGCAGTGTGTACAAACACAAGGATATTCACAAAGCGACATGGATTTGATTTCACCAGATAGACACACTAATAATCAGATCGACTTCGCCTCAATCTGAAGAAAGTGGAGACGCAGCCAGCCAGATACAGGCCCAAGAAGGGGAGCAAATGTAGGTTCACACCACTCACTATCTAGTGCAAGAAACCTTCCAAATCAAGTTGAAAGCCTTCACAGAAGTTGGTGACGATAGACCACAGTTCAAGCTGAACACCTAAAACAGAAAATGAAGGACGAGACTACAAAGGACATCTTCACGTCAGCCAGTCATCAGGACCAAATAGGAGATATTAAGCAACATTTTCGAGGAAAGCCGCATGGGAGAACACTGGAACTGTTTGAAAGAGACTTGGAGGGAAGTCTACATAACCGTGTTAGAAAGGAAGAAGAAGAGGCAAGACAAGAAATGGATCTCGACGAACACATGGAAGCTGATCGAGTAGGGAGCGGAAGATGTTGAAGCAGATGAGTCAGTGCAGTGCAGTGCAGGGATGAACAACGAAAAGAGGAACAGAACACAACCTATAAAACACTACACTGGACAAAGAAGTGAAGAAGAGTGCTCACAAAGACAAAAGACACTTCTACGACACATTGGCAAGTGAAACAGAACAGGCTGCAGGTAGGAGAGACAGAGATCTGACAACACTATGTCAAATAACCAGGTTACTATCTGGGAGGGATGAGTGCAATGCAGATGAAACCAATGAGAGATAGTGAAGGAAACCTTGTTACCAAAGAGAGAGGAGAAACAAAAGCAAGGATGGGCTGACCGCTTCAAAAAAACTCTTGAATCGACCAGCACCTGGAACTCGTCCAGAAGTACCACCAGCAGCCCAGCCACAGAATTACCAGTGAACACAAACCATCCGACAAAAGCAGGGGTGAAGTTCTGAAGGCCATTAAGTTGCTGAAATCCGGGAAAGCAGCAGGACAAGATGGAATTCCTCCAGGAGCACTGAAAACAGACGCAGAGACAACAGCAGACACACTTCCACCACTATTACAGAAGGTTTGGAAGGAAGGAAGGAAAGTTACCTGCCCGTTGATTGAAAGAAGGGCTAGCCTGTCAAACTTCCGAAGAAAGGTGACCTAAGTCTTTGCAAGAACTGGTGCAGAATCATGCTACAGTCCACTCTAAGCAAAATATTAGGCCGCATTATCCTGGAGAGGCTAAAAGCGCTCTGCATTCAAAATTACGACCGGAAAAGGCTGGCTGAACTCAAGAGCAAATCATGTGCGGATCAAATTACAAGGCTACGCTACGCATCATCATAGAACAGAGCACAGAATGACAGTCAACCCTTTACCTCAACTTCATCGACTTTCAAAAAGCGTTCCATTGAGGCGTCGACGGAGAAGTGATTCGGTAGCTGCTGCTTCAACACTATAGTTTCAGTGCCACAAACCTTTATCAAACTCATACAATAGCTATATGACGACGCTACATGTCAAGTGATTCACAATGCAATGCCTTTAAAGCAAAACAAAGACAGGAGTAAGACAATGTTGACACCTACTATCACCCATCATCTTCCTGATTGTAGTCGACTGGACTGGGTCAGGCAACAAACTGTGAAGAGCGAGAAGAGGGGCAAACGCTGGCTGGAACCATGAAAGACCCTATAAGATTTAGACTTCGATGATGACTTACGTCTGTCTTATGTCGCACAAACTCGAAGATCTACCGGCGAAAACTAACAAGTTGATAGAAGAGGCAGGGCAGCGAAAACGGGACTTCAAGTGAATGTAGAGAAGACGGGATGATGAAGAAATCCAACCACCACCACCAACAACAACAACAATAACAAGCACCAAACACCATCAACGGGAGAAATCGAAAGGAAGTTAGCTCTTTAACCAACCTACCTAGACAGCATCGTCTCAACTATAGGCGGCACAGGCACATATGACGACGTCAAAGCCACCATTGGAAAGACACCAAGACAGGCCTTCCTGAGTTAATCTGAAACCAATCAGTGTGGAGATCTACTGCACTGTACTCCACTCCACTCAGCATAAAGCGTGAACAACATCCGGATTTTCAACTCTAATGTCAAGTAAGTTAGTGCTTCTATATGATGGTTGAGAGACTTGGCACCTTAAGAAAAGCATTTCCAACAAACTGCACACATACGCCTACGCCCGCTCACTCAGAAAGCCAAAATAATAAGAATAAGCAACAAGGAACTCTAGCTGGCTGACAACGAACCAACCGACTAACAACCCATCGCCCAACAAATATGAAGAAGGAAGTGGAGATGGATTGGATTGGATTGGATGGGATTGGACATACACTAAGACCATTTGCAGATATCACGCACTAGGCCAGGCCGTCCAGTGGATGCCAAATAGGAAACGATGAGTTGGGTGTCCAAGGGTGACATGGAGGAGATTATGTGAGGAAGAAATGAAAACTTCTGGGCAGTCGTGCATTCAGGTTCAAAAGACTGCAGAGAAGAGAGTGAAATAGTAACGTGCTACTGAAGCCCTATGTTCCACTAGGAACCCAATGGACAAATAAATAAATATCAACAAATAACATTATGATAAATTGGTTGTTTGTGGCTGGTAAAAGAATCCAGGACGCTAGCCACAACCAACCGATTTATCATAATTAACATTCAGGCAAATATCGAGGTATCCGCATAGGAGCCCATATGCCAACAGAGGTCGAACAATCCGATCCAACAAAACAACGGAGAATAACAAGTATATCAATAAATAGTAATAAATAACATTATCTTAACACTTTTATAGCTACCACACATCTTGGGCATTCAGAAAACAAAACCATTTCAATAAGCGAATATATTTTCCGTACTCATTTCTATACTAAAATTCATTTTTATTCGCCCTCTTCGTTCTGCTTTAGATACCTGCAGTTCTTGCAGTTCTCTAAACTTTTGTGCAGCGTAGTTAGTAGCTGAACTAGATACAAAGGCAAACAGAACTTTACTGCCTTTGAATAATAATAATGAATGAAGTTACTTTCTTTTATTAGAAGGGAACACAAATGATATCAAAACATAAAACAACTCACTTGACCTCTAAACGTCAGTGGGACAAATCCGCTAAATATTGGGATGTAAGCAGAACACAGCAAAGCCTACAAAGGTACAAAAGAACCAAATTAAAATTAACTTAAGGCTAACTTTGATTAACTCTTCTTTGTCTTTAAACTGCCGAACGATTATATTTTTCCGCGTAGTAAAACACGTCAAGGAAACTGAAAGGCGGTTGGAACACAGAATATGAGCATCTGATGGTAATATTTTTGATAGTCCTTCTTTCAAATGCTCACTTATTTTGAATCGTGGATCAAATGGACCAAGTGTGTATTGTTTGGCATTTTCGACAATTTTACAGAAATATTGAATGCATACATCTATTTAAAATGAATTAAAAGTACTTTTGCGTGATATCTTACCAATATCTAAATCACATACAAGACAAGCAGCAGCTATCGCACCTGCACTCGTACCAGATACCGGTTTATTTTGATAAAGATGAGGTGCGAATTTCTTAATACAACTGCAAACACCCACATGATATAATCCAAGAAAGCCGCAGCCGGCAAAAGACAAATTGTGCTTTAAGCTTGATTCGTCTCGATAATACCGATCCTCGAGTAAATCAATTTCAGAAACTGAGTTTATTCTATCCATAACAAGACAACTGTAGAACTTCCATGGAATTCAAAGTTGCCTGTAAATTTGTGTAATTAATGAAGCACATGAAATTACACAGTTGTAAAAACACGATGAATACTTGAAGTTTCTAACGCACAAATGTTCTCATAAATAAGTTCCTTGTCAACTTACATATTGATATAAGAAATACAAGTGGTTACACCGAACATACTAACAGTTGTGAAGGAAAAAACAGAACTCATTAAATATCGTAATAAAGCATTCATAAATAATGGCCTTATTTACCAAAGAATTGAAATAAATTCCTTTTGTCAGAGTGAGCACAATTAGCGCATTATATAAAAGCATTATCAAAACATCTCGCAGCAATTAATTATGAGTAACGACTTCATATCTCAACGACCATCATCGTTTGAAACAGTGGACATCAAGTTTGGAAATCGACCTACTTACAACCACTAGGAAAAACAATTAGAATCACACGTCGTCATACACCAAGTGCAGCTTGTATAGTAGTACATAAAGCTCGTATTTCGAAGCTGAGTTAGCTTTCTTCAATTACCACTAAAAATAAGTCGATAACAGCGACATGCCACCAGTTACTGAGTTTAATATGGAGAAGCAGTCAAGTGTTTTATTTCCAAAAACAGAGCATAATCCTCAGCCTGAAAAGCCATTATACCTGCTTCGACATGGGTGAGAAGGTAGTATCACAAACTCGTACAACAACCGTGGAACACAACCTAGTACATAAACACCTCCACCTGACCCGGCTGCATTGCAGTAGTCCAAGCGTCCGTTTTCTGATGTAGTTAAAAGATTTTGGAAAAAGTATAACAACCCATCATATATTTTTTCAGCAAGTGGATGCTTATGTCTTGTCACGCCACAGCAGTCATTTTCGCAAACATTTGTATGATCAGAACAGAAAGAAAGATAGATATAACCAACGCAGGAACTCCTATATAAGTACATCAGTTCAATTTGCTAGAAAGTGTTTTACCAAATACTGAAAGTTACTCAAATAGAAGACATCACACAGTAACTTTAGAATGTCGTAAAATGTGTAGGTCTTCCAAAATTATTTATTTGATGGCGTTTCGAGAGTAAATTATTCTTCATAAATATATCAATGTGTTATGATTGCTATGATGATGAGCAATAATTTATGCTCAAAACGTCACCAAGTAAGTGATTCTGTATCACTATGTTATACATCAAATAAATAAATCTAATATGGAATAAAGTTTGACAACCAAGTAACTTTTTGCACCCTTGCATAGAACATATTTACATATATTCATACCACTTATGACCTCCTATCGAAACTGTGTTAACAGCCGACATTATAACTAGTGGTTACCAGTTTTAGTTTCCTAACTTAAAACACATGAAATGACTCCAAAAACGAGTTCCTGAGGTATTTAATCCCCAACTTTCAGCAAATTTTATGGCCCCTAATCTAGTTCTCCCATATACGTCTGATCCCTTTTTCGTATTCCTGTCATTACTTTCCTTCCTTTACCGCTTTGAATTGCGACACGCTGAGGTGATATACTGCTCTTCTGAGTCTGAAATCATTCTAACTCCTCAGGTTGTTGAGTTGCTACCACGATAAGCTGGTACTGAGTTTAAATACGATCTACATTAACGTATGTAGAAACTGCAGACAGTAATAGTTGTTGTTTATTCTTTTACTTAGTCTATTTGTAGGTCTTAATATCAACAGCATACTTGAGCTACGTACTAACAATAATAATGACGACTACAGCATAAACAAAGGTGATACTTACATTTATCAGGTTTGATCAGGAAATGATGAGAAATTACAGGAAATACCCATTTAATTAAACTGCTTTTGAATTATCTCAACACGAATGTTTAAATTATTGCATTTGGTGTACCCGATGATAAAATGATCGATCTTTAATTTCTGTAAACATGATAATTTCGTTAAATACATTTTAATTGTTTTGCTACTCCTTTAGTGAACAATATATTAAACTCCCCTATTCTTAGATACTGTACTTTAAATGCATTTACAGACATTCCCGAGTTCACTGTACACGATTTCTTATTCTACTGATTTAACCCTAGTAACAAAACATTTTACCATCAGCACCGCAGCTGAATTCTACGAGAACTGTAGGAGGCATCAAAATGTTGCATCCCGTAAAAAAATACCACATATACCTAGCCCTACAAAGAAACACAGCTTCTAAAAGTAATCAGCCAATAAAATCTTGAAGTTTGCATGTAACTGGTTTAGACATTCTATAAAATAAGAGAGATAAGTTAGTGCAACCACTGTGGAAAATATATGCACTTTCAAGACTACACAACAACTTGTAAGCACAATAATGAAAAGATCGTTAACTTAATATCTTGCTGATAACACTTCCATACTTCTCAATTTAGATAGCTCGAATTTATTGGTCAAATACCTCTTTATGGTCAATACGATGTGACTACACTCATAACGCCGGCAAACAACAACACTTAAGGGTAAATATGGAGTTAGATAAGATATGGAACGAGTAGTGATATGTCGGGTCAAAAAAGCCACAAGATCCCAAGACAAAAGTAGTAGCATATCCTATTTTGTCTTGACTTTTCCATGTCTAGATAATCTAAAGCATAAAGCAAAAGTTCAATAAGTGCAGTCAGAGATTACGTGGAGACCTCTTTAACCTGTTCTTACATCGTCCTACGGAAGTTGCTTAGGTATATTGACTCACCTCGTTTCGACATATCGCCTGTTTAATAATCCATAGTCAAAATTTATGATCTCTAGACGAAGCTGTAGTCTTCAATGATAGCCACTGTGGGAGAACTTGGGCCCTGTGTTGGCGTATAATTCCAAATTAGTATATCTTTGGAATATTTAACGCAGTAGATCAGTAGTACTTGCTGTAAGACATATTAAACAGAATCTATTGTTCGTATTCATATCCACGGTAACTCAACATCTTTCACATTATCTACATAGCTTTATTTCTTCTCCTCCATTTGTTGTAAAGTTAGTAGGATTTTACAAATATCTGGGATACGTGCTGAGTCATTCTTATTGCATATGTTAAATGTTGACCCTATAAACAAAGCTTTAGGTATGGATGTGTCCATCTACACTAATAACATGGTTTTTAGAGCTGTGACTTTGACCTATTTAATTGTATCAGTCTGTGGCAACGTATGCTGAGATGACTGGGATTCTCGCAACCTTTGACACCTTTTTAGGGTGAACCACTCTGAGGTAGGGTTTCTTGTTTTTATTCTGACTGACTCTGGTCGACTACCTTGGCCAATATACTCGACCTCAAAATTATTCAATAGAAATGGATAAAATAATTTTTTTCACTAGGCTATACATTTAGCCTGCAAAGCTATTTTTGAGTTAATGGGTTTTATTGCACCTTCCAATATCCAATACCTTAACCGTAAAAAAGTTTACTAGATGATAATTCGAGTGCTTCATAGTGTAATCATATAAGGAAGATAAACATTATTTCTTAAGGCATACCTCAAGTAGCATATATGCTACAGAAACTTAAAGCAGGATTCAAGACAGTGCTAGAACACCTAGACCATCACTTCATGGTCATCTTATCGAGCTCAAAAATCTTCAAGAAAACATATGATAAAAGGCTAGCTGATATACAGTCTGTAGTGTATGATAAGTATATTTTAGACAGTTAATCGCCTCAATTTCCGCTTTTCACCTGATTTCGTGCATTGAAACTCGCATTTAAGAGGGCAAAATGATATAAACACGTATCTTGTACCCTGTTTAAGACGAGTTATGAGTCAGCTGACACGCGCAAACAATTGACAACATTAGTAGTATATACAATAACGCATATTTTTGAAATATACTCATCTAAAGTTCAAATGATTCAAGTAGTTATTGATGGAATAGAAGAAGTTTCCACCTGACTGGTTTTCGTACCCACATCCAACATCCGAAATCAGTAGTGTCAGTAGAAAAACTTGTAGTTTTTGAGCTCTGGCTTCCAGGTCTTGGGGCTCGTTTCCTTTTGTTCGGTTACACTCCTTTGGAGGCCACAGAAGTCTTTGTATTTTTCCTGCTTATAGCTTTGAGGCAGTTTGTTTGAGGGTATCTTTCTGGCAAACTGTGGCTTGTTTGGGAGAGCAGCGGAGCTCCTGATAAGTTCAATTAACCACTTGCAACTCCGGTTTTGGTAAGCACCTGTATGTAGTACGTGTTACTTAAAATGTGTCAGAAGTGAGGAATGAGAAATAGAAAAGTGGAAGGTTCTTACGGAAAAATGTGTCACTGGCAATAATATGGAAAAGGGATGGGTCCTAATGCAGATGCTAGGGTTGGGTTATACAAGAGTGGATGAGCGAACCTTCAGCTGTTTCCGACGAATGTTAGTGTTAAGCCATTTGCACTCACGAATCTATCCAGAAGTCAGTTGAAAGAGTCATCTGATGCATCTGTAGGCACCTCTTTCTGCAGAGCGTTCTATGAAGCACGTACTACGTGAGAAGAAGTTTGGTCTCACTCTTGTCTTTGCCGTGTGGCGGGGCTAGCGAATGTGGTTTCTGTGAGACTACCGGTTCCGGGTCGGTGATGTTTATCTATTTGGATGGCCATTTTGGTGAATGATCTTGTGGGCTGTCATAAAGCCACCTCTTTTCCTCAGATAGCTTGACGTAGGCAAGCTGAGTTGTCTGAGGCGCTAAACGCATGTTTTGCCCGTTATTCCGATAAGCAACCTTGTAGCCCTTCTCTGTCCCTTCTAGAGACTGTTCCAGTCCCTCTTTAATAGAGGGGGTGCTATCATGTTAAACACATCTCAGTGTGGTCTAACATAGGTTTTGAATACCAAAGGGACTAACTCTGGAGTTAGTAGTCCAAGTTACCTCCTTACAAAATGCACGATGGCGCCCTCCTTCCCTGTCATTTCTTTATACCCGGCACCAGTATCCAGTGTCGGGGAGTTTAGTTCTCGGTCCTTCTCTGTGGATAACCTGGTGATTGCTCACTTGCTGAGGGTGTGTCTGGTTTTCGTCATTCCTGGCATGTGAAGATACACCACCTTTCATTTCTCCAAGTTGGAGCTTAGGCTGTTCGCAGCTGATCAGGACTCCAGCCGCATCATATCGTCTCGGAGTATCAGGATCCTCTTCCCTACCTGTCACCCTACATATTTTGATGTCGTCGGCAAATGGGAGGATATACGAGGAGAACTGATAGGTGAGGTGGATGACGAATAATAAACGTAGGGCTGGCCCAAAGATAGCTCCCTGAAGAACTACAGATGTTGTGCTCCTCCGAGCTGACCAAATTCTGTTTACTTTAGCTTGGAATTATCTGTCACCCAGATATATTGTAAACCAAGCTATCAGTGCCTCAGTGACGCCTGATTTTGCAGGTTTAGTGAGCGTGGTGTACTGTGGGACGACATAGAAAGCCTTGGCTAGGTCCAGAAAGATAACGTGAACTTGTCACCTGTTGTCTCATCTAATAGTTCGGTCATCTCAAGCCGTTATAAAGTTGATGGCACGTGATTTTCCGATTCTGAAGCTACGCTGGGTGGGATGAACGATGTTGTTCCCGTTCAAATGGTCCCAAACAACATATGCAACCAGATGGTTTATCATCTTAGACGGCATGGGAAGTAACGTTGTTCGTCTGTAACTGTACGGGTTTCTTCGATCTCCTCCCTTGCAGATCGGTGGGAGGACAAAACGTTTCCATTCTCCGGGAAGTTGGTTTTCTTAAGACGAGTGCACGAACAGATCCTGTACGGGTACGCTTGGCACTCCGACACAATTCCGGAGGACCACTGGTCTCGTGTGATCATAGCCGGTAGATTTCCCTACTCTCAGTGTTGAAAGTTTCGCGAGCGCCCGGTTAGACGAAATCATCAGTTTCTATCGCAGCCTTGAAACTTCGCCACATTACTGGATGCTGGTTATGTATGCATAACTGTGTTGAGCCGCTCGTCACATCAGCTCCTCAGCAGTTCCACCAACCCACTGCCATTCAGGGGACTTCGCGTCAGTCCTGTGATCACGTTTAGACCTTCATTTGTCGGTTTTCGTCGTGAGACAAACCGATATAGGCTTCTTAGTTTGTAACCTAGCTGTTTGGCCAGGTTACTTCGGCATGTGCACCAGTCAGTATGAAAACGCATACTGCATAATTTGCGCAACCTCTTGTAGCCAAGACAGCCTAATTCCATATGTGATGTGGGCCGCCGACACGACGTCTTCTTTTTCCCTTATACTTGCCCTTGGGTTGCGCGAGTTACCCAAGACTGTTTCAGGGGTGATCGTGTGACCAGTTTCCGAACACTCTTTTCGATACCATTCCGGATAACATCCTTATTATGTATCCAGGATTCGTCTGTCGGTAGTCAGTATCATTCCTGTGGCCATCGAGCTTCCAGGAGTTCATTGTTCATGAGATTGTAGTTTGCCTCTTGGTAAAAGTGGAACGCTTTTGGCCCAACTATTGGCGCCTTCTCTCTGGTTATCTAGGAAAGTCTCACCAGTACGTCACCACCTTTGGTGGAGGCTGAATACAGATATCGCTCAGCAAAAGATCATCGTCTGTTAGAGAGCGGCCAAGCGGAGATCCTTGTCTATCTTATCCCCGTCAGGTGTTTTCCCCAACTTTCTCCATTAGTACTGACTCCATATGTGTGTTTCGAAGTCTATGTTCAGGAGACTTATGTCCACAGCTTAACTCACACCCCGGGTCAAGTGTTGGTGTGCTGAAGTCTCCATGACGGACTACACGTTCATAGGCGGCCGACGTGGATATCAAAATGGCGCTGGGCAACTGTGTCTTGTGCTCTGCTGTGCATGGAGGAGGCATGTGTATCACTCCTAATAGGTACTTTGTTTATTTTATAGTGAAACTGCACCACTGGGAGGCTGGTGACTGGCTAAGCACATCATCAGTCCCCTCCTTGGCTTTTAGGTGTATGCCAATAAAAATGGCCACTCCACCGCCTTCTCTGAACTGCCTATCCTTTGATAACAAGATAATACCAGCCAAAGATATTTCCCAGTCTATGGCATCTGATGAGAGCCATGTCTCCGTAATAAAAAATATATCTGCACGCAGGTTATAGCACACTGTTCTCAGCCCCAGTAGGTTGCTTTTAAGACCTCTCACATTACTGTAGAAGCATGTCAATTAGCTACGTTCTGGGCTTAGTGCGGTACCAGAACTGACGTGGAGGCTGATGCAGTGTTGCACTGAGTTCCAGTCACCAAACCCTACTGGACTAGCAAGCCTCCGTTTTTATTTCTTTCTGGCATTCTGGTGTTGGTGTGAAAGTAGTGCTCACCATCATATCTACAGAGATTAGTTCACTGGACAGTCCTCTTGTGACCATTACTGTTTGTAGAGTTCTTGGAGGTTACCGTCCAGCTTCTGGTCAAGCGGGCCATGGTTTACTTCCGCTTTATCGCACGGCACTCCCTATTTGATCTTTTACGTAACACCACACTCTAAGGGCTCATGTGAGCGTTGGCTTGGAGTCAAATAGTACAGCTGACAGCCATTTTGAAGAGGTGTTCCGAAGGCGAGTAAGTCTTGCTAATCTGCCGGCGCAACTGGCAGCCAAATTTTCTAGTCTCATTTTGCAGCTGGCCATCCCCATCGCTAAATATCATAGAGGCAATAATCATATTTTGTGGATCCACCAGCCGGTTCGGGTACTCTACGCACCATCGTGGTTGCAGCCCTGTGTGGATCACTTCGCGTAGACCTTCTCTCCGCCGTTCTGGCTACCCATTGTTTACCTGGCTTCACCCCCCTGATACGGGACCCTGCGGTTGCTGGTCGGCGCGACAGTAACAGTTTGTCCCCCAACTGTTTCAACGTCATCGGTGACACCCGAGGGGTGCCGGCTTATTTCGAGGTATCCTACTTCCTCGGGAAGGCCAGCATGAGGTAACTGCAATGAGTTCTACCCGTAGCCTCCTGGAGTAGTCTCCCCATTTCTCCCTGTCAGACCGCCTTTTTTCTGAGAGTAAGTTTGTTAGTCCGGGGGCATTGGACAAAGCGATGGAGTTCGTTCCCCTGTCCCGTAGGCGCAGAGCATTGGGTAGCCAATGGTTTTGGTCTACCCCTCCTTCCATCTACCTCCGTCCATTTATCCTCGACGCGACTTACTCCGCTAGGATGTTCACATTTATTAGGTCGTTTTGGTTGCGTCGATATAAGTGAGGACTTCGTTGGCTCCCCACTCGAAGTGGGAACTGGCAGTTTTGTATATTAGGGGTTTACATTTTCGCGAGCTTGTGGAGCTCGCCCAGTTTTTGCTGGTGGATTCTGGGAGCTTGTGTTCTGTAATAACTTGGGTTGCACTGGGTCACCCAGTCTGCAGTAATGGCGGGTATTTTCCGACATTATTGACACATATTTACGCATCTTCTCACGAAGCTGAGTTCCCAACCTCGTGTACCCTTATTACAGTCCCAGTTAGCCCATTTCAGACAAATTTTGCCCACCAAGTCTTATTTAGCCTCCGATGCTGATTCATTGCAAACACTGCAGTCGACAGAGGTTTGCCCATTGTTCGCGACTGAATGGTCTGCTTTTTGCGAGTCAAGACCAGCTATAGCTTGTATCTACATTCACGCTTGTCGGCACGCGCGTTCTCCCCGTCGTTTACGTCTTACCAACAGAGTGTTTGGGGGCGTTTATCCTTTGCATATATCTCTTGTACATCCCATGTTGTTTGAATACGTTTTTCATAAGTGATGTTAGATCGCAGATCTTGAAGCCAGTTTTATGGTCCTCTAACTCCTCACTTCGAGCTTTTTGTGTCCGAAGGTTTTTGGTCGATTCCTGTGTGTCTCGGACTACTTTCAACGATCAGAAATA